TACAAAAAAGGGTACAAATATTTTATAAGCAAACGCAACACAATAACAAAGAAAAATAATGGCCAATCACACACACAAAAGGCCAATCGCAGCTGACAGACACACACACTCACCCTGCTGAGTATATAAAACCATCGAATCGATGCAGGTCTTTGCCAAACCAACCAGCTGGCTTAAAGTTCAATTGGGTTCGCATACCGTTGGTTTGATTGGTCACCTCCATTAAGCCGTACTGTAAAACACAGAGACAGGTATTAACACAATTATCACCCGAAGCGGATCCCAAAATGGCAATTACCTCTTCGAACCAGAGCTTTCCGACAATGATATTATGAACGCAACAGTTGACAGACTTCCAGGTGTATACGTCGGGCCTGTGTTTGAGTTTGAGCGTGATGGTGCCCTCGGGTGTCACCTCGATGGATTTGCCCCAGAATTTTAGCTTCGGATTGATGGTGCCGTGCAGTATGAAGTGGTCGCCCTCCGCGTGCCACGCGCTCACCGGCGGGTGGTGTGACACCTGCTCGAACACCACCTTAATGTTGAGCTCCGGCAGTTCGTACTCATATGTCTCGCCCAATAACGGATTGAACGGCTTGTTTAGTCGCAACCAATTGGACGAATAGGCGGACACTATGAACGCGCAAACCTCCTGTGATGGTTGGACATCGAGGTAGTCGAGTGGCCATAGTTAGTGGTGGTATAGGTTTTGGGAAGAGAATGCAAAATGGTTATTTTAAACAACACGTGTAAATCATTGATTAATATTTATGGTGTAAGATATGGGTATAAGAATATTCTGTATGTGATTTTACAGGAATATACGACCGTATGCAAAGAATCCGCTCTCACTCAATCTCTTAAAACAGGTTTAAGAGTTAGAGTTTGAGCTGGTGCTCAATCTTGTATTCATGAAATAATTTTAAAAAGTAGTGACTCTTTTTTGCGCACATTGTAAGCGCATCTGTTATTGGCTAAAGTTTGTGAACTACGACATCAGTGCTTGGGTCCGGAACCCTGTTTGACAGGTTGCGTTACTATCCCATGTACTATCTGTTAATGTTTTGCTAATAAGGCAACATTA